TTCGATTTTCTGTCATTATTGATATTAGATCAAAACTTCGTATTTTTCTTGATGCTTTCTTGGTTCGACGAAGTTGTTTCAATGGGACTCATTTTTTCTCAAGAAGATGCTGTTGATGAACGCTTGCTGAATATTGTCCTGAGTTTCTCTTGGATTTAATGTTGTTTTTAGGTACTGGTTTAAGGGTGTCGTCTTGTTCTGTGATTAAATTGAAAATTTCTCCTCGTGAGAAGTTTTTACTACATATTACGAATATATATATTTGATCAAGAAAAGGATTTGAAATTGAAAAAGCATTAATTTTTTCCTGTGTAAAAATAAACATAATGAGTGTGACAAAAATTTCTGAAAAAATGTCACTTCGTTTTTCATCGACTAAAACATGACCTGCATTGAAGGTCTTTTCTAACTGTTTGTTCAAAAAAGTTTTATCTTTGAGTAACGAGGACATCGTTTTATAACACTTAAATGTCGTCTGTGCAAAACAAGTCGCAATCGTTGCGTTTGAATGAATTGATCTTTAAGCAATCTGGTATTTATTTCTAGCAGAGTATTAGGCGACAAAATCTAATGAACAAATAAGCAACACTTTACGATGAATTGTATAAGAGAAATTTAAAATATACTAGAATATCAGTTACTTCTACTACAAAAGTTGCGAGTTACTTTTTAGAGTCCGTGCTTTAGTGTTATTTTAAGATGTGCTCATTACTCAAAGATAAAGCATGATAAAAAGTTTTTGAATATACAGTTAGAAAGTGCTTTTACTGTAGATTTTGCAAGTGTACTTTTGATTTTTTCGAAACATGTTTTAGTCAATGAAAGATGAAGCGATACTTTTCCAGAAACTTTTGCAACATCGATTATGTATCCATTTGCTTACAATAGTCTCAGATAAAGTTTAATTTGTGGTAGTGCTATGATTTTAATTCATATAATATCGCCGTATATTTAAGATGCCTCCGATTTATGAGAAGGAATTTCAAAATTTAAAGGAGTTAGAACCTGGGTGCAAGCTAAAAAAAAAGATTTTCACAACGCAGTCGGAATTTTGTAGAATTTTTCAAGTTGAAGTAAAAAAAATTAACATCAATTTGACTTATTTTCTCATGATTTTCTTTCTTTTTCTGTTTAATAAATATATACAGCTAGAAAAAACTGTTTCCAGTTTTTGTAAACGTTAATATACTGGTCGATATGTCTTGGCACCTCTTAGTACTTTTCGTTACTTCTTTATAAGTCAGAAATACAGAAGTCTGCTCTTGTTTCTTCAGTGCAAAAAATCAACTCATCTGCGTGATCAAGTGACAAAATACTGCTCCATAATGTCTTTCAATAGTTCAAAAATTAATAGAAACATCTGTATGAGGATAATATTGACTAGGAATGTAAGCTGATTATGTCACTGATTAAAGCAGTAGTTGATAAACATTGTTTTAAATAACCCGAAACATATGCCGAATATACAGAGCTTTGGTAATATCAATCAATAGCACTGCAAAAAAATGTCTCAAAATCAAGAGTTTGAAGACGTTTCTAGTATTCAAATTTCTATTGAGAAGTCAAACGTAATTTTTCGATAGGTTTCCTCTCAGCAAGCATGGGAAACTCCAATGAGTTTTGAGCAATTAAAACTATATCCAACAATCAAAAGTATCTTTTGCATAGGTTTGTCCACTTTACGTAGTCAAACTTCTCATAGGTTTTGAGTCACAATAACATTTGCAACAACTCAAAAATCAATGTCTAATAGAGGAAACTTTTAAAAAGCTCAATCTTCGATGCTTACAAAGGAGCTCACAAATTGTACAGATCAAACAGAAATTTTCTATTTCAAACATCCAACCACTTATCACATTTATCGTCCACTTTTGATGGTCTGTTCGCAAATACCCATTCATACTCCAAACAATTCACTGGTTTCAGCATTCTCACTGTCGACTGACATGCATAAGAGCGCCAAACGGCAACAGTGTGGTATCACTGTAGCTGGAGGAAATCGACAAGGCAATGGAATCAATCAACTCTCAAACCCATCGGGTTTGTATGTTGATGATGATCAAACAATCTATGTTGCTGATCGAGTGAATCATCGTATTGTGGAATGGAAACGAGGTGCAACAAGTGGCCAAGTGGTTGCCGGTGGAAATGGACAAGGAAGTGGAGATCATCAATTGAATTACCCAGAAGATGTGATTATCGACAAAGAGAGAGATAGTCTCATCATATGCGATCGTTCGAATGAAAGAGTGGTTCGATGGCCTCGTCGAAATGGGACAAGTGGAGAAACAATCATCTCCAACATCGATTGTGTAGGTTTGACAATGGACGAGAATGGATCTCTCTATATCACTGACTTCGGAAAAAATGAAGTGAGACGATATCGAAGAGGAGAATCTCAAGGAACTGTGGTTGCAGGTGGCAATGGATATGGAAATCGTCTCGATCAACTCTATTACCCACAATACGTATTCGTCGATCGAGATCATTCAGTGTACGTATCTGATGGGAGAAATCATCGTGTGATGAAATGGATGGAAGGTGCAAAACAAGGCATTGTCGTGGCTGGTGGTCAAGGAGAAGGAAATGATCTTACACAATTGTCATATCCTCAAGGAGTCGTTGTCGATCAATTGGGCACTGTCTATGTGGCTGATCGATGGAATGATCGAATCATGCGTTGGCCTAAAGGAGCCACACAAGGAAGTGTCATTATTGGTGGAAACGGTAGAGGAGAACAATCGAACCAACTCCATTGGCCCGTCGGTTTGTCATTCGATCGACACAGTAATCTCTATGTCGTCGATTGGGGAAATCGTCGAGTACAAAATTCAGTATTGATTCTGATGTATAATAGGTGTTGCCAGTAGATCCAGATAGAGCCTAGGTGAGGTGGCATTTGACTAGGATGAGTGTGAATCAGTATAGGAGTTAAACCTTTGTTGACAAAGTTCATAGTTGAGAAAAATGCAAAAAAAATTCAACTCTTTTCAGTCTCAGAGTATAAAGAAGCTACACATGTTTTATAGTTATTTTTCATTAGACAATTTGTAAAAACTAGTACTTAATTCCTTGGAATGAAACAATAATGAATGCTCTAGAATTCTCCAGAACTAGCTGTAAGGGAGATGTACAGTCGTTTATTGGGAAAGTTTTGATTGATGACCAAAGCTCATATAAAAAGAGAAAGCAGAACTTTCTATTCATTGTTCAGAAAGTAAAAACAAATTTTAGAAACGTTGATGAACAAATCTTCATTAACTCAATTGTTAGGACATATGTATGTCGTTGTGTCTAAAGGAAGATGCTGATGTTACAATGAGACAGCTTGTTCAGTATTTAGTTGCATAATATTTAGTTTTTGTGATATTTCTCTTTATGTTAGAAAAATATAAAAATTGTTTTCTGTTGTTCCATGAAAATCTTGTATATGTTTTGAAATTAATAAAGTTTACCAAGTAAAATTTCTGTTGAAATATGACCAAACTCAGTAAAACTTATACGAAGAACCACATACGAGCGCGCGCAAGTTATTTATGATGAATGTCCTTGTCTAAAATAAGCTAATTTAACAGCTTACTTGAATTAAATTTAGCAGAAATAGTTTGGGACTAAAAGGATTAAGATGGCTATAACTTTGTTTATAAGTAAAACCCAACATGATGACTATCAACTGCAGATATAGCTTTCAATCACAGTTGTATCTATGAACTGAGGTTATAACTATCATTCATTTTAACTTGATTAACGTTTTAATTAATTGAATAGTTTTATTTATGTGGAATTAATAATTACTTTGATTTCATCGAGATGCCTGATAGACTAAATTAAAGCATTTATAATCTGTGGATCTTTTATTGAAGAAACTAGTATTTATACATTATTCTTTAAGAGGTTTTTTTCTGTATTCATTTACAAGTTACATATTTTTGTATTTGCGCGCCGACTAAGAATGAAATAGTGTATTTTTTCATAAGAAACAGAGCAGCCTTTATTTAACGTTAACAGCTGCGCATGTAACACAAAAACCACAATCATTTGTATCTATGGTATATATATATATATATATTGAACATGATTTAAAACAAGTAACATTCGTCGGTATGACTCGCTTTATCCTCGACTAAATATTCGGCTGGTTCGCTATTTTATACTTCTTTGCAGCTCTCAACAAAGCTATTATCCAACATTTGAAAAAGTATGTGTGTGGATGCTGATACTAGTGTCAGTCTCCTGGTGCATGGTGGTATGTGTGCCCATGTAAGAATTTTTGTCATAAACTCATCTCATCAAACTGGTATCCACACATCGATACTCAACAGAAATCTAAATGAACTATACACGCAGCAGCAGTATCCACACACACTAGAAAAAAGAGATTATATTCAATT